TTCGTAAGAAGCATTTCAAGGTCCTGGAGTGGCCTAGCCAGTCTCCAGATCTCAACCCCATAGAACATCTTTGGAGGGAGTTGAAAGTCCGTGTTGCCCAGCGACAGCCCCAAAACATCACTGCTCTAGAGGAGATCTGCATGGAGGAATGGGCCAAAATACCAGCAACAGTGTGTGAAAACCTTGTGAAGACTTACAGAAAACGTTTGACCTGTGTCATTGCCAACAAAGGGTATATAACAAAGTATTGAGAAACTTTTGTTATTGACCAAATACTTATTTTCCACCATAATTTGCAAATAAATTCATTAAAAATCCTACAATGTGATTTTCTGGATTTTCTTTTCTCATTTTGTCTGTCATAGTTGACGTGTACCTATGATGATAATTACAGGCCTCTCTCATCTTTTTAAGTTGGAGAACTTGCACAATTGGTGGCTGACTAAATACTTTTTCCCCCCACTGTAGGTACAGCAAATCCCCTTATTGTATGGGACACTTTTAAATGTGCCTTTAGAGGCCATGCAATTCAGTACTCATCTCTAAAACAAAAGCAATTTAGGTGAAAAGAGTCCATACTAACAAAGAAAATAGAAGGTCTAACAGAACAGATAGATAGCAATAAAAACTGTAACAGAGGCTCAGAATAAGTTAGAGGAAAAACAAAAATAAATGGAGGAACTTATTCAAAAAAATATCAAGTGTAATATATTATAAAAATAAAGCAAACTGGATGGAATATGGGGAAAAATGCACCAAATTATTTTTAAATCTTCAACATAGAAATGCTACCAAAAATAACTTTAAGCATATGTTTTCGTTTCAGTCTCCTCCATCTCCTCTAACCGAAGCTAATTGTATGGATTTTTTTTATAATGTAAAATTATCAGCCGTACAGAAAGATTCATGTGAAGGCGAAATTACAGAGTAGGAACTTCTTGATTCAAATAAAGCCTTTACGTCTGGGAAAACTCCAGGGCTGGATGGCATACCAGTTGAGGTATACCAATTTATTTGTAAAATATACTCAGAGGACTGTTATTAGCATGTTTTAACCACTCCTATGTAAATGGTAGATTATCAGACACTCAACAAGAAGGTCTGATTTCATTGTTACTGAAACAGGATACAAGTGGGAAATATAAAGATCCAGTCCATTCAAAAAAATGGAGGCCCCTTACACTTCAGTGTTGTGATGCAAAAAGTCTTGCATAGAATTAAAAAGGTATTGTTGGACATTATTCATTCTAATCAGACAGGTTTTTTACATGGACGATACATTGGAGATAATACAGGGCAAGTACTGGAAACAATAGAACAATATGAAAAATCTGGGAAACCAGGCCTGCTATTCATAGCTGACTTGGAAAAGGCTTTTGATAAAGTACGACTGGAGTTATATATAAATGCCTGGAACATTTCAATTTTGAAGAATCACTTATAAAATTGGTTAAAATCATTATGTATAGGTGTAAAATAGTAAATAATGGCTACTTCTCTGAAAGTTTTAAACTGTCAAGAGTAGTAAAACAAGGTTGTTCATTATCGGCATATCTATTTATTATGGCCGTCGAAATGTTAGCTATTAAAATCAGTTCCAACAATAATATCAAGGGATTAGAAATCCAGGGCTTAAAAACAAAGGTGTCCACAACTTGGATCCCTCCACAGCCTCATAGAGGATCTAGATAATTTTTCTAACCTCTCTGGATTACAACCAAATTATGATAAGTGTACTATATTACGTATTGGATCACAAAAAAATACAACTTTTACATTACTGTGTAGTTTACCAATAAAATGGTCTGATGGTGATGTGGATATACTCGGTATTCATATCCCAAAATAAATAAATGATCTCACTCCAATAAACTTTAATAGAAAGTTAGCAAAAATAGATAAGATCTTGCTACCATGGAAAGGTAAATACCTGTCTATTTGTGGAAAAATCACCCTGATTAACTCTTTAGTATTATCCCAGTTTACCTATTTGCTTATGGTCTTGCCTACGCCTAGCGAACAGTTTTTCAAAATATATGAGAAAAAAATATTCCATTTTATTTGGAAGGGCAAGCCAGACAAAATTAAACGGGCCTATTTATATAATGAATATGAATTTGGAGAACAGAAATTATTAAATATTAATCCATTAGACCTATCACTAAAAGCTTCAGTCATACAAAAGTTATACTTAAATCCGAACTGGTTCTCTAGCAAATTAGTAAGATTGTCTCACCCCATGTTCAAGAATGGCCTTTTTCCCTTTATTCAGATAACAACCTCTCACTTTCAGTTATTTGAAAAGGAAAACATCTCCCAAATATTTATAAAACAAGCCATTGAAAATTGGTTGCAATTTCAATTTAATCCACCAGAAAGGACAGAACAAATAATGTAACAAATATTGTGGTTCAATTCAAATATACTAATTGAAAAAAAAAACATTATCTTTTGAAAAAATGTTTTAAAAAGGTATAATCTTCATAAATTATATCATAGGTAGGACTGGTGGAGTTATGTCTCACATGCAGCTAACAAAAACATATGGAAATGTCTGCTTTACCCAAAATTACAACCAACTAATTGCAGCATTACCGCAAAAATGGAAGCGGAAAGTGGAAGTGGGAAAAAGTAAGGAACTTGTCTATCGGCCCTGCATTAAAGAAAATTGTGATGAATAAAAAAGTTTATCAGTTTCATTTAAGGATCAAAAAATGGACAGCCGTGCCATATACTGTAGATTGCAAAATAGTTGGGAAGAGATTTTTGACGTACCGATTCCATGGCACATGGTTTATGAACTGATACGCAAAATGGATTCAAAACTTATAATTTTTCAATTAAAATTATTATACAAAATTCTTGCAACCAATATAATGTTATTTATTTTGGGAATACAACCTTCCCAGCTCTGCAGATTTTGCTGCGAAGAGACAGAATCATTAGATCATTTGTTTTGGTACTGTCCATATGTAGCTTGTTTTTGGTCACAGGTCCAGGAATGGCTGAAGGATTTCAATATTTACCTGGAGCTAACCCTGCAGATAGCACTACTGGGTGATCTGAAAAGTCATAGTCAATCGATCAATAATATAATAATACTTTTAGCAAAAATGTTTATTTTCAATTTACAATCTGTAGAAACAATGAGAATAGAAAGGTTCAGAACTTTTGTGAAACATCACAGTACAGTTGAAAAATATATGGCAAATAGAAATCCAATATGGATGGTGTTAAGAGATAGATGGGTGGTGTTGAATGGAGCTGAAGGTTGAGACTAATAACAACTAATAACAACAAGATAACTAATGTAAAACCGACTGTGTCCATAAAATGTATATAGGTTACAGGTTAATAACTTTTGTGAAAGAGCACAGTTTGAAAGATATGGCAAATAGAAATCAAACTGGATCAGAAATAGATGGGAGAGGTTGAGGAAGGACAAGAGTAAAAACAAACAAAATAGAACTATTGTAAAATAGACTGTGTCCATAAAATTTATATAGTATGTATAAGCTGGAAGTAGAGGCCTAAGCGTTGTTGTTCACTAGTTTACTCCAATTAGGGGAGGGGTGGTAGGGTTAGAAAGTAATAAAGGAAAATATATATTTTTTAAAGGATATGTATATACATGTATTTACACTCCTGATCAAAAGTTTGGGGTCACTTAGAAATGTCCTTGTTTTTGAAAGAAAAGCAATTTTTTTGTCCATTAAAATAACATCAAATTGATCATAAATACAGTGTAGACAATGTTAATTTTGTAAATGGCTATTGTAGCTGGAAACGGCTGATTTTTTATGGAATATCTAAATAGGCGTACAGAGGCCCATTATCAGCAACCATCAGTCCTGTGTTCCAATGGCACGTTGTGTTTGCTAATCCAAGTTCATCATTTTAAAAGGCTAATTGATCATTAGAAAACCCTTTTGCAATTATGTTAGTAGAGCTGGGTTCGATTACAGGCTCAAAATGGCCAGAAACAAATAACTTTTTTCTGAAACTCGTCAGTCTATTCTTGTTCTGAGAAATGAAGGCTATTCCATGCGAGAAATTGCCAAAAAACTGAAGATCTCGTACAACGCTGTGTACTACTCCTTCACAGAACAGCGCAAACTGGTTCTAACCAGAATAGAAAGAGGAGTGGGAGGCCCCGGTGCACAACTGAGCAAGAGGACAAATACATTAGAGTGTCTAGTTTGAGAAACAGACGCCTCACAGGTCCTCAACTGGCAGCTTCATTAAATAGTACCCGTAAAACACCAGTCTCAACATCAACAGTGAAGAGGAGACTCCAGGATGCTGACATTCTAGGCAAAGTTGCAAAGAAAAAGCCATATCTCAGACTGGCCAATAAAAAGAAAAGATTAAGATGGGCAGTCTGAGATATGTCTTTTTCTTTGCAACTTTGCCTAGAAGGTCAGCATCCTGGAGTCTCCTCTTCACTGTTGATGTTGAAACTGGGATTAGCAAACACAACGTGCCATTGGAACACAGGACTGTTGCTGATTATGGGCCTCTTGTACGCCTATATAGATATTCCATTAACAATCAGCCGTTTCCAGCTACAATAGCCATTTACAACATTAACAATGTCTACACTGTATTTCTGATCAATTTGATGTTATTTTAATGTACAAAAAAATTGCTTTTCTTTCGAAAACAAGGACATTTCTAAGTGAACCCAAACTTTTGAACGGTAGTGTATATGTATGTATGTATATATGTATTTATATGTGTATGTATATGTGTGTATGTATGTGTATGTATGTATATGTATATTAGCAAAAAATATATTGGTGATTGGAAGTGACGCAGACAATTACATTGATGGAAGCTACAATCTATCTGCAATATTAAAGCTGATCTACCCCGCCCCCAAAAAAAACAAAAAAAAAACAATAAAAGATCTGACATCTGTACATGCATATGTGTCTGTGCGTGTGTTTGACTCTCACCTTGAGCAAGTGCAGCTTTCCCCCAGAGGTGCGTGTGCAGACAAGAAAGTGTTTTGTAAACAGGAAGCACTGTCGTTCTCCTTCCTTCCTGAGGGACAGAGAGCCCAGACGGACCTTACTGAGCATGCCCCGTTCACTGCTGGATGGGAGCTGGATCAGAGAGCCTGATGGGTAAAGACAGAGAGTGTGTGTGTGTTTGGTGGGAGGGGGAAAAAACTAAAAACATAGGTTACACATACTGTACTACTGATGACAGTTACCGGTAACCATCTTATAATGTTCTGGATTCTGGTTGGTGTGTGTGTGTATGTGTGAGTGCATTTGTATGTGTGGGTGTGTACTCACCCTGTCTGACAAAGGTCTGGCTGGTATCCAGTAATATGTCACAGCCTTCTACGATCATTCTCTCGATGGCCAGATTCTTACGAATGTTCTCTGTATCGCTCACCTCATCATGCATCATCCTGACAACACAATCACCGTTAGCTACATTATCCACTACACAACCATTGTTAACTACATGATCTACTACACAACCACTGTTAACTACAGCTCCATTATCCTCACTTTGACAGCTCCTCTAGTTTGGACTTGGCAAACTCCAGGCTCTTGCGCTCCACGTGCTCATGAGGTGTATGTGCCAGCAGCTCATGGAGAGTGATGATGTAACGAGGAATCTGAAACACAATGGAGAGGTGTCTGTCAGTCAGTCAGATCTGGGCCATATACTAGATGTGGGAGAGGAGGGGTTAAAGGTTGGAGGTTATTGAGGTCTGGACGCACGTGTGTGTGAGTGTGCGCGTGTTACCTGGAACATTGGGTATGTGAGGAAGGTCTCCAGCATGCGTCCCTCACAGGCAGCGTTCGCCTCATACTGCTTCAGCAGCTTGTCAAAGTCCCTGTTCTGTTTACAGTTGGCCAGAACCTGCAGGCTGTACTGGTGGTTCCTCACAAACTCCTGGTAGATGTTCAGCATGGGCAGCAGGATGTCAAACAGGTCCGCTAGAGAGACAGACACATAAAACACATTAGTTCACTAGACATTCCACACAAGGACAATGGTAGAGGTTAGCTAGAGTAGATTTGACCCAACATAGATGCCTCATATCTCACCCAGCTCACTCAATCATTGATCACTCACCTAGCACCAGCGTAGGCCAGTTGGCTATCCGAGCCTTCAAGCCCTGGTGGAAGATCTCATGGAGGAACATGATGGTCTCACTGGGGACACAAAGAAGAAGAAGATATTGCTTAGAACTATTCAATCCTTTCAGATCAACACAAGTGTATAGGGTGTAGGGGCTATGGACTGGTTCTGGAGGGGTCCAGACTGTGTGTTACCTATTGAGGAAGATGCTGCTGACGTCGTCGTGGCTGATGGGAGGTTTCTTGGAGCTGGCAGCCATACGTAGGGGCCTGAGGAAGAAGTTGACCAGGACAGAGAGCTGGCAGACGTACTCGGTCTCTGCCTCCACCATGTTGAACACAATGTGGTTCCTCTTCCTCATGTTCTCAGCGTGGGGAGAACAGATGTAGTCCTGGACGATGATCTTCCACTTCCTCCGACACAGCCAGCCTCGCATGAAACTCTGAACCTTTTTGATCTTTTTAATGTCTGGGTCTTCCTCCTCCTGGTTGGTCTGGTAAGGCAGCATCCTCTCCTTGGCCTTGTTCAACAGCACGATCTGGAAGAACACAGTCAACAGTCAACACACAACAGTCAACACACAACAATCAACACAAAACAAACACCAGCCAGATCCCCTTGCCTAATGGAAACCTTTATTTGTGTGTGTATTTTTGTGTGTGAGCATGTGTGTGTGGCTACGTGTGTTGTGTGTATGAGTGTGCGAGTTAATCTGTCTATGTGTGTGTGTGTACCTCTGCTTTGAGCCTCTCGATCTCTGTGTCCTGGTCCTCTAGCTGAGTGCGTAGCTGGTTGGCCGCCACCTTCTCTGTTTCCATGATCTGGACCAGGTGGATGTACTTCTGCATCAGGACCTCACGCTCAATGATGATGTCAGAGTAACTAGAGGTGGAATTGTAAGTGTGGAATGTTAAGTTTAAACCAAGTTGACATGGTGCACACTGCACAGGGAACACCATAAAAGCATTATGCTCGATACGTATTACATTTAAAAGTAAACACCATAGCATAAATGTATTCATCATCCCTCCGTGTAGAGAGAGAGAGAGAGAGAGGGAGAGATAGAGAGAGAACGTGGGAGATGTAGAGAGAGCGAGACTGAGAAGTTATAGTAGTGGGGTGAAGAGAGAGAGAAAGTGCTGGATAGAGACAGAGAGAGTAGGGGGAGAGAGAGAGAGCGAGGCAGAGTGTCAAGGTTAGGCCTGTGATGTAATCACTCTGGTGGTACGGCACCAGAGTGTGACCTAAATGTGAACTGCTCCGAGCAGAGCACACACACTCTTACAAATGGAGCAGACGTGTGGAGAGGGGGTTGTGTGTGTGTGTTTAGTGTGTGGATCACTACACAGTCACTGTGTGTTTCAGAGCAGAACACGCCATACTGGCTGCCTAGGTGACAGTCAGCTGATGCATTTGCATGTGTGACATGAGTATAACAAGCAAGCCAGACCCAAATCAAACCCTAACTCCTATCCTTCCCTTAGCCCTTAGCTGCTAGCTCTTAGCCCCCGGGCTCTTGTAAAGAGGCGTTGAGGTGTTGTTGTTGGATAGACTCCACCCTCTTACCTGGCCTGTTGGATAGACTCCACCCACTTATTGCAGTCTGACTCCTCCTCCGTCCGCAGCTCCAGAGGCTTCTGACCGTCATGGCCAAACACCACCAGGAAGTAGTGCTGGAGGAAACAGGAAACAGAAATACTATTACCAGGAAGTAAACAGAAAATAGAATCAACATTTTAAGGCAGTACCAGAGAGGAAGAGGCAAAGCGAGAGGGTCCACTTCTGTCAAAATCTGTCCACGCGAGAATACAAAAAATCCCCACTTGGTCTGCTTATATTGGTTTGCTTAACCTTTTACTGCAGTGGGCTAAATCAGGGTCACACAGAATGTCCTGGAAAGCCACACACGCACGTAGACGCACACACATTCACAAAATCCAGAACTCACATTCCAGTACTAGAAGAATAATGCTGTTTTTGTCTGACTAGTTTTTATCCATGTCTTGTTCTTTCTCTGAAAGGAATCCGATAAACAGGGAATTTATCGGATAAACAATACTCTCATAATATGAAACGTGACTTAATTGTTTAAAAACCTGAGAGAATATTTATTGGGCATGGAAAGCAGGAAATGTCATCCCAAATGAGCCCTTCTGTCTGTGACTAAGTTCCCTGACCAAGAGAACAGGAGTAGGGAAACAGGAGAGAGAACAGGAGAGAAAATAGGAGAGAGAACAGGAGAGAGGACAGGAGAGAGAACAGGAGAGAAAATAGGAGAGAGAACAGGAGAGAGAACAGGAGAGAGAACAGAAGAGAGAACATTAGAGAGAACAGGAGAGAGAACAGGAGAGAAAACAGGAGAGAAAACAGGAGAGAAAACAGGAGAGAAAACAGGAGAGAGAACAGGAGAGAAAACAGGAGAGAAAACAGGAGAGAGAACAGGAGAGAGAACAGGAGAGAGAACAGGAGAGAAAACAGGAGAGAGAACAGGAGAGAGAACAGGAGAGAAAACAGGAGAGAAAACAGGAGCGAAAACAGGAGAGAGAACAGGAGAGAGAACAGGAGAGAAAACAGGAGAGAGAACAGGAGAGTGCTATAGAGCACATAGTACAGAACCAGGTTTCCTGCTAAATAAATGTTGTCTTATTTAGCTACTGTGTTCTGCCCACTGATTCCTTGGGAAGAAAAGGAGAGTGATTGGTTGTGCAATATTTGTTTTTCTTCTATTCTATTCTATTCTGTTAAACAATAATTTTACATGTTGAATGTTAATTTTCTATTTTAAATTAGAATGTATTTTCATATAATTATGATTTGAATGTCACGACGTCTGCTTATTTAGAAAATAAACATGTTATCTGTACCTGATACATAAAATACTGGATTCAATTAGAACATAATTTTCATACAATTAGATTCAAATTCCACCACAAGAATTTGTTTATATCAAATAAAATCAGATGATACAAAAATGTGTGTGCGGTGTGCACGTGTGTATATAAGCGGGTGAGAGATTCTAGCTAGTGTGTGTGCCTGTTAAGAGACCAGAGAGAGGCTTAAGGGCTTGTTCGTGTTGTATGTGTGTGTGTGTGTGTGTGTGTGTGTGTGTGTGTGTGTGTGTGTGTAGGTTACATAACCACCATTGCTTGTGCAGCTCCTTACTGCTGCTAATGCGGCTTCCCCGGCCAAAGGCCTGCTGTCAGCTGAGGGATAACAATGAGAGAGAGAGATGGAGGGAAAGAGAGAGGGAGAGAGAGAGAGAGAGAGAGAGAGAGAGAGAGAGAGAGAGAGAGAGAGAGAGAGAGAGAGAGAGAGAGAGAGAGAGAGAGAGAGAGAGAGAGAGAAAGAGAGAGAGAGGAGGGGGAGGCAGGTCCACACACAGGACCACTCCACATGAGCCATCAGTTCATATCTCTGGTGTCTAATCTGAATAACAACATGATAGGAGCCCTAGACAGCATGTCAACATAGCAAGACACAACAGGTGCAACAAACATAAAGGCCTATGGACGAATAGTTGACTTCCATTTCTGTGTCAGACTGACAAACTGGAGAGCTTTGAGCCAGCAGCAGCCAGCAGACTAAAGTAGCAAAATACAAATAGGCTGAGCGTGTGTGTGTGCATTCATGTCTGTGTGTGAATGTGTGTGTGTGTCTGCATGTGTGTGTTAATGTGAGGACAGATGAAGGATTTCTGCTGGTCAGCTGGGTGCCTGAGCTGCTTACAGCAGCAAAACACAAACATGCTGATTTCCTTTGAAAGATACAATCTGAGTGATACAACTGGGAGAAAATACATACACACATGAACAGACGCACGCACACACACACTCACTCACTCACTCACTCACTCACTCACTCACTCACTCACTCACTCACTCACTCACTCACTCACTCACTCACTCACTCACTCACTCACACACAGTCCCAGGCCTCAACATATCCAGGTAAACAGAGAGCTCTGTACAGTATGTAGACTGTGTGGCTTGAGGCTAAAGGACCAGCAAGCTGCTATTCTTAGTCAGAAGCATCCTAGAGCACTTGTACCCTGACACACACATAGAAACACACACACACACACACACACACACACACACACACACAGGGCATCTGATTCTCCAGCAAACTCTATCTCTCAATATCCTGCTGGCTTTCAGTCTTTCTCTCTCTCCTTTTCTCCCCCCTCTCTCTCTCTCTCTCTGGTTGATATTTGTGGTAGTATGTGATTGTTTTAAATGTACAGTTTCATTCCTTTTCAGTGACCTAATTAAGTGTTTTTTAAATTCAAATTTTCTCTCTCCCTCAGTCTCTCTCTAACAGGGTTTAATTTACTGGCCATTTGAGAAATTTACCAGACCCATATGCAGTGGGTGCATAACCCATTAGGGCATCCACCCACGGTGCTCAGAATGACAGAAATCACATTTAGATTATGGTAATGCATCTTAACAGAACATGCAACTCATGTAATGAAGCAGCCAATAAAATGTCATTCTAAAATTTGCTAAAATGCAATTTGCGGGAAAACACCATTCTAAACAGTGCACCTGATAATGGTTCCATATGTGACAGAAATGAACATCTCTGTTAGAAACTTAGAAAGAGGGGGAATCTAAAGATGTAACAACTAGGATGGATTGCTAATATGACTAGGATTGTGCCTTTGGCTTCTGGACAACAAAATAAAGTTGATATGAAAACCAATAGAACAGGAGAGCAATCGCATAGCAGTGGGTTCAATAGGGAAGTAAATGAAATAATGAATCCTGTCTATACAGAAATAAATAACATCATTCAAAAAACTTCACCAGAAAGCATGACTTAGCCACAGAGGAATAAAGGATCATTAGCTTATTTTGAAAAATAGCTGTTGATTGTTTCAAATCACAAGCTTGTAGTCCTATGCCTAGCTGATTATTGAGTTGCGGCTGTCAGTGAAAAGCATCTAAAATGTGTATGAAGATAATGTGTCTTGAGTATAATTTAATTAAGCTGTTTCCCACCAATTCTTGCGCATTCATTGTTTCATTGTGTGAATTGTTTGCCCTTAGATTTTTTTATCAATTCCCCATTATATATGTCACCAGTAGTAAATATACCGGTAATCCCAGTAATTTTGTTACATTAATTTCTGTTAAAGCATCTATTAATTTCAGTAATTTACAGTTCTCATTCTAGGAGTGGAAACATTGTTTGCAGAGTTCTCAACCTACACTTGTGAGAAACAAGTTTTGGTTAATTTCATAACCATAATTTACGAGATTTATCAATTGTTTCATTGTTTTTTGTTTAGAGTGCTCCATGTGAGCAATGAGCATGTGTCTGGTTTCTCTGTCCTGATAACGTTGAGGGAATGCACGTGCCTGAGCACGCATAGAAGTTCCTGGCCTGCTGCGCAGAAATGTAGGAAAGTGTTTTTTTTTAACATCCATTGCGAATGATAATATATTAAAACTATAGTTCCTCACAGTAAGCTATTTGAAAAATCTTTCCAACAATCTCCCCCTCTATGATCACCAATCCTCGGCGTGAAAGAGCATAGGCTATCATTTATTTAGCTGCCAAGGGATCACAGTGTATCAATGTGTCCATATGGCAGAGGCTGGTGATCTCACATTAATTGACTTTTAGCTTTTAGATTTGTATCATTTTCATTCAGATTTTATGATTAACCATGTGACAATGATTTTGAGAAATGAAAACGTTATTATTGAACTGAAACTGTTTCACGAAAATGCACATTTTGGGACGCAGAATGGTAGAAATGGTAGCATACATTTTAAGCTTCCCCAAACTTTAAACTCACGCTTAGCCTATGAAGTCTTTATTAAAGAATTTCCTCCATGTTTCTATGGTTGGATTATGCCTATAGGCTACTTTGAACCAAGGTAAGACATGCCTCATAATATAAAATAAAACATTCAGGTTTCAAACAAGTATGTTTTCAAAATGCATACTG